TCTTTCTCCTTAAACAAGACACTAGAGCAGAACCTCCTTTTCTTTCTCCTTCTCTCTCTCTTACTTTCTCTCTCTATTTCTCCAGAATTTCCTTCTCTCTAGAATTCTAAATTTTCAAAACCTTAAGTCCCTATTTATAGAATTTTTGAAGTTACTATGCACTATGCACTATTCATTAAAATAATATTATAAATTACTATGCACTATGCACTATTCATTAAAATAATATTATAAATTACTATGCACTATTCATTATATATTCAAATTTATTATAAAATTTGAACCCGCGTCCCTCGTGCAGCCGCCCTTCACTGTGCAATTGCATAGTGAAATACTATTCATATATATGTATACGTAAATAGTAAAATACGTTTACATAAATAGTAAAATACGTATACGTAAATAGTAAAATACATAAATAAAATACTTATTCACATAATAAATACATAAAAAATATATTTCTTTTCATTGAATAAAATTTGGGATGTTACAAGGTGGCCAGCTAGTGGGGTGGAGTGAAATTCCTGCAAAAGTAGAGGGATCATGGAACAGGAACGGGGAAGCCAAATCTTGCCTTTGAAGAGAAGTAGATCCTGATGAAGTGAATAGTCTGGAAATGAGGAGGGGGTGCTAGCAAACTTGTTCTTGACGTCCTAGAAGTCACTGTTGGAAGCAAGGGAGGACTTTAGATCCTCAATGAAATCCATTTGGGGAATGGATAAGATGAAGAGAGTCGAATGTGATAATGTAGTGTCAATAGGGGTCGCTGCTGGTGATTCGACCCTGGAAAGAGCATCAACAACAATGTTAGTTCTGCCTGGCCTGTAATGAATGTCAAAATCAAAGCCCAGAAGCTTGATCAGATAAGGCTCTTGAGCAGGGGTGAGAACCGTTTGTGATGTTAACTCCCTTAGGATTGTTGGTCGGTAAGTATGATAAAGTGATTACCCAACAGGTACTGCCTCCACTTTTGCACAGCACTTGTGATGGCGCATAATTCTTGGATATAAGCAGAGGAGTGTTGTAATTTGGGGTAGAACTGTTTACTGAAAAAAGCAAAATGTTTGGCATTCTTTAATGGGCCTCGTCGGTTAATATATGTGTAGACTCATTTAAACAAAAGCAAAAGCAGATCCAGTATAGCCCAAAATATATAACGAGGTGGAAAAGGACATGTCAGACCAAACAATACCTTTCGGTCATTCAGCCCAAAGAGTAAATAGATCTCTTTTCACTACGATACCGATTTTTTTACATAAATAATATATTTTTTAAAAAAATTACAAAAGTAACATCTGTGCAATATTATTTACCTAACTAGAATCACTGTTCATGCTCAGAATTCGGTTCCCCGGAAACCGAATTCTGAGCATGAACAGTGATTAATTTTAGTTGGATAAATAATGTTACACATATGTTATTTTGGTAAAAAAAATTTTAAAAAATTTTATTTACGTAAAAAATTCACCTGATACTAGCTATATTTTACATTATAAAATATGTTCAATCTTAAATTCAAAGCCCATCAAAGACAAAATTTTTTTTTATCTCTTTATTATGTGTGTTTTCTTTTACTTGTATTAAGTGTTTGTCGTGATATACAAAATTAATTCTTATATATTAAACATCAATTCCTATTTTATGTAATAGTATTTTTAGGGGTTTTTCTTCGACAAAAATTTGTAGGGATTTTTTTAAAACTTTTTTATCTAATTTAATTTTTATTTATTATAATTATTTATAAATTAAATACTGTGTGAGTATTTTGAGGAATTTTTCTTCTATAATAGAGTTCATAGGGATTTTTTTTAGCTTTGTATCTAATTCAATTTTTATTTATCATAAATTCATAATTGATTCCTATATATTAAACATGAATCTATATCTTATACGAGAATATTTTTAGGAGTTTTTCTTTGACAAGAAGATTTTTAGAAATTTTTTTAACTTCTTATCTAATTCAATTTTTATTTATCATAATTATTTATTAATTAAATTTTAATATTTTTAAATAAATTATCAATAAATAAAATAATATTGCTATAATATAAATTATTTATCATAATCTAAAATATACTTTATATGTTTAAAAATATCTATTTATACAAAATTATATGATTTATATATTCAAATATAATATTTAATTATAGCTTAAATATATTTTTAGTCTATTAAATTTAAGATAATTTTTTTTTGGTCCTAAAAATTTAAAATTGTTATTTTTAGCCCCTATAATTTTCAAAATTATTGTTTTAGTCTTTCATGTCACTAATAATATATTTGAAAGTGACCTATTAAAACCATCACCTAAGTTTAATATGATATTTTGACTAACAAAAATACTAGTAGATAGATTTTATGCGATAATATTTAACAAATTTTCTAACAGAATTTGAGTATAAGGATTAAAATAAGATATTTTAAAATTATAGGACTAAAAAAATAAATTTTAAATTTGAGAAACTAAAAACAAATTTATTTTAAATTTAAGAAACTAAAAACATATTTAAATATATAGTTTATTATAATATTTAGTTATATATAATAAATATTTTACCTATACATCACACATGCTAAAGTACTAGTTATTTATTAGTTAAATATTAATTTAAAAAAATTATCAATAAATAAAAATATTATTTTTTTAATACAAATTATTTATCCTAAATCTAAAATATAATATATAATATTAAAAATATTTATGTATACTAATTTTAAATATGAATCAAATAGAATAGAAATATCATTACCATCAACTTTGCCTTTTCCCTTTACCAGTTCAGATGACGTTTCAGCTTCAACACCTGTTAAAGCAAAAACACGACCTGCTGCAGTAGGCCAATCCACTTTCTGGTTTCCTCTAGCTTGAGTATTTCTTACATTGCAATCCTTAGCCATGTGACCCACCTTGCCATATTTAAAATACACATAGTCCTTTGTAGGAAAATTGCTCATCATATGTGGGCTTCCACATCTGTAACATCTAAAACTCTGAACAGCTCCTGTAGTAGTAGTCCCCATTGGTTTCTTATTAGCATTCCCCTTCTGAAACTAAGATGGTCTCTTTTGGGGATGTTTCCCCCTTCCAAATCCATATGATCCCTCTAGACCCTTTGCCACTCTATTTCCTCCTTCAAATCTCTCAACTATTTTTGCCTTTTCAACTAGAACTAGGAAATCCATAATTCCCATAAGAACAATAGCCTTCTTCAGCTTATACCTTAAACCCTCACTGAACTTCCTACATCTCCAAGCTTTAGTGATAGCTTGAGAATAGTACCTAGCCAAGTGTTCAAACTTGACCACATACTCTTGTACTGACATATTCCCTTGCTGCAATCTCAAAAATTCAGCTTCCTTAGCATATCTGGCGCTATCTGGAAAATATTTCTCCATAAACACCTTTCTGAAGTTCTCCCAATTCACCACTTCCCCTCTAGCTTCCATCATAGCTTGAGCACCTTTCCACCAGAAGCTAGCCTCACCCACCAACATATAAACAGCATAAACTAGCTTCCTCTCCTCAGGACAATGCATCACCATGAAGATTTTCTCCATCTCCTCAACCCACTGGTCAACAACTTCAAGTCCATCAACACCTGTAAATTGAGGAGGATTCCCTTTTCTGAACTCTGACAAGCCCCTATACTCATCAGGTA